ATAATTATTTTTGTTTAGCCAGTCTGTTCTACAATTGTAGATTTATTTAGATTAAAACATTTAGTGGTTTTGGGCTTGCCTCACACATGTGAAGCACTGGATTCGATCCTCAGCACCACATTAAAATAAATAAACAAAATAAAGATATTATGACCATGTATAACTAAAAAAAACAAAACATTTAGTGGTTTTTTTGTTGATACTTGTCTTCCATATTCTTTTTTTAAAATTTTTTTTTAGTTGTTGATGGGCCTTTATTTTTTATTTATTTATATGTGTTGCTGAGAATTGAACCCAGTACCTCACACGTGCGAGGCAAGTGATCTGCAACTGAGCTACAATCCCAGCTCCCATATTCTTGAGAGTTTTAATATTTTTCCTTTTAAAAAAATCCATTTTACATATTTTGTTTTTTGGTTGATAATTGCTTAAATTAAGCTATTCACTTTTAGGAAATGAAACTTTGTTTTTGAAATTCAGCTTTAAATACTTATAGTTGTCTTCACTGAAATGAATTAAATAGAAATTCCCTTTCTTTCAGCATTATAATATATAAAAATGAGGAGTTCCCCCTTCTAAAATAGCAGTAACTTCCCTTATGAGTCAGTTTAACAGTAGGCAACAAATTATTCAGATAGAAAAATTTCAACACATATGCTTGGTAACTCACTGTAAAATAAGTTACTTAGTTAAATGATCAGGGAGAATTTTCACTCCTTCCTATTTTATATTTATCATGGGAAATATAAAATATATATTCTAATATGTACATATGCAAAGTAACACTTGCTTGGGCAGAGTTCAGAGGCTTTTAAGCAATTGTTTAATAATAAATGTTGCATAAATGTTGCACAACTTGTGGTATTTGCTTGTAGTAGATTCAGTTACATTCTAAACTTGGCTCTCAAAATTTCTACTAGGAACTTTCTGTGCTCTAAACTATCAGCCTTTAGTGTCAGATGGAAACCTTTGAAAATGTTAATCCATTTGAGCTATGTAGAAATCACATGGAGATGTATTATACAGATTTCTTGTGGCACTGTTTTCCACACCATTTGTATGGTGTATAAAAGAGTAGAAAGGAAAAGCTTGTTTCATGTCTCTTTATTTTAGCATGACACATTACAGGGCATGCATACTGACTCAAAGTTTTCTCATCAGCTGGTCCATGAGGAAAATTAAGATTGTCTTGCTATGCCCCATGGAAATGATAAGGCTTTTCAAAAGAAAAAACAGAACAAAAGGACGTGTCGGGCGTGCACACAACTGTGTTATTAGCAGGAAATGTGCTGAGTCCTTTATGAATGTGTGAATTTACGAATATGCTTTTTTTTTTTTTTAAAAAAAGAATTATCTTTTTTTATTAGTCATTGAATGAAAAGCATTTTTCCTGATTCAGAGAAGTTTTATTCTGCTGAATTTTGTTCAGCTGTCTATAAACTGAGCTTTCACAGCATTTTTTTTCTGCCTATGGGAGTGTTTTTGATGGAAAAATCTCTTAGTTTTGATATTATACGGATAATACCAGGGAAATGATAAGAATTCCAGTATTTAGTGAGTTGTAGCCTTAATGAGCGCCTGATTCAAGTTGACAAGTTGTTTTTTCCCCCCTCCTAGTTTAGGGGAAATGCTAGATTTTGTTCATTATTAACTCATTATTTTAACAGAAGAGAACTGGATTAATTTTGGGGAGGGAGAACACTAAGAAAATAACTTTTGTGTCTTCTTAATGTCAAAGATTGAATTTTAGGCTTTTACAAATCCTCCACCATCTCCAGTTGTTCCCTTTTATTTGTATTTGTTTAAATTCCACTAAAATAATGATATAGCAACATTTTCATCACCCTGAAAAGTTTATAATGCCACTTTATACTCTACTTCCTCTGTGTCCTGTCATTACAGTTTTGTGATTGTTAACATTTTATAGAGAAGGAATCATGCAGTATTTAGCTTTTACATAGGATGACACCCCCCCATTCATCATAGTTTTGAAATTGATTTCTGTTGTTTTATGGATAAATTATTACTTTTAAATGTAGAATACTATTCCCTTGGATCAATATTTTAAGGTTCTTCTGTTGATTAACATTTGTTTTTCATTTATGTTGTTATTAATAATAAAATACTTAACCATATATGGGGCAAGATATATTAACTTTTTAAAAATAACAGGTAATCTCCTTTTCAAAGTTATTGTGCCTTTCTTTATCCTTGTCATTAATTAGCGAGAGTATCAATCACTTTGCATTTTTTTTATGCTTTGTATTAAACCTGACTAATTCTAGTGGTATTCCTTAGAGATTTTAATTTGCATTTCCCTGATACTTAATTATTTAAATATTGTATGTGCTTACTAGCTGTTTATATATCTTATTTGGTGAAATACCTTTTCAAATATTATATCCACTTTAAAAGTTTAATGCATAATTATATTGATTTATAGGTATTCTTTTTATATTTTAGATATAAACCTTTTGTCGGATATATATTTTGGAAAATTTCCTTACAATATCCTTTTTCATTTTCATATATCTGTTACAAATAAAATTATTAAACTTGATGAACTTTGTTATATTTGCTGTATATATATTTTCATGTGTTCTTTTTCCTATTTAAGAAGTAGGTTGCAGAGATTTTTTTCCCTAAATTTTGTTCTAGACACTGTACAATTTTGACTATTGACAATTTTAGTACCATTTGATCAAAAGACTGTTTCAGTATTTAATTATATTATGCCTTTGATGAAAATAAATTGGCCATGCAAATGTGAATTTATTTCAGGACTCTTGATAATTTTGCATGTTAAGGGATTTGTTTGTGTCATCTGAATATTTCCTACTCCTTTCTTTATATTTCTTTTATTTATTTATTTTTCAACATTTTGTCTAGAGTTAGCTCTTTTAAAATTTAATAATGACCAGTCTTTAATTTCATTATCTTTCTTTTGCTTGCCCATATTTTATTTTATCAATTGTTTAATTTTTATTAATTCCCTCATCCAATTATCATTGGTTTTTAATTTGTTCTTCTTTTTCTACTGTCTTAAAAAAATTTTTTAGATTAAATTAATTTTTAAATCAAACCAGAAGCTTTGAAATTATATATGTTAATGGAATAGTGTGCTGTCTCAATACATGTATACATTGTGCAATATTTATTTATTCCCCAAAGACTTCATTTCTTTATGGTAAAACTTTTGAAATACATTCTTTTAGCTATTTAAAATGTACATTATTATTATCTGTGATCATCCTACTGTGCAGAGGCAAATCAGAATTCCATTCTCCTATCTAATTGTAACTTAATACCTGTTATCCACTTTGTCCACACCCTTCTCTTTCCACTACGCTCTCTAGCCTCTGATAGCCACCATTCTACTCTCAACTTCTATGAGAGCAACTCTTCTAGATTCCACAAATGAGTGAGAGCATTCTGTGTCTACGTTATTTCACTTAATCTAATGACCTCTAGTTCCATCCATGTTGTCGTGAATGACAAGATTTTGTAATTTTTTTTTGAAGATGAATAGTATTTCATTGTGTGTATATACCATATTTTCTTTATTCATTAATCTGTTGATGGACACTTAGGTTATATTCGTTTTTTAGCTATTTTGAATAGTGCTGCAATTAATATGGGAAAGACACAAGTCTTTTAGACGTAATGATTTTATTTCCATGGGATATGTATCAAGTGGTAGAGTTGCTGGATCATATGGTAGATATTGTTAATTTTCTGATGAATCTCTATACTATTTTCTTAATGAATGGCATTACTAATTTATATTTCCATAAACATACAAGCTTCCCATTTGTCTATATCCTCACCAGCACTTGTTTTCTGTAGTCTTTTTGATAATAACCATTCTGACTGGGGTGAGGTGATAGCTCACTGTTGTTTTTATTTCTCTGTCAGTGTTGTGTGGAGTATTTTTCATATATCTGTTAGCCATCTGTATACCTTATTTTGTGGAGGAAGGGAAATACCTATTTTGTTCTGTTTTCCATCTTTTTTTTGGAGGGGGGTTTTACCAGGTCACCTTATTCTGAGCCACATCCCCAACCCTTTTTATTTTTTATTTTGAGACCAGGTCTCACTAAGTTGCTTAATGTCTTGTTAAATTGTGGAGGTTGGCTTTGAACTTGTGATCCTCCTGCCCCAACCTCCTGAGTAGTGTGTGTCACCGTAGATGGCCTCTAGTTTTTCTTTTCTTTCTTTTTTTTTTTGGTATGAGGATTGAACTTATGAGCACTTGACCACTGAGCCACATCCCCAGCCCTTAGTTTTTCTGAATTTACAAAAGTACGGGTGACATTTTTATAGTAACTTTGTATCTGATGACTTTGATAAATACACATATTAATTATAATATTTTGTGCTTACTGAGTAGTGTTGTCTGGATATTTTTCTACTAATAGAATTGTAGTATAAGTTTCCAACAGTCAGGTTTTCAGCAAATAATGATGTTTTTTTTCCCTTGGAATAATTCCTTTTCTTATGCATAGAACCTTCTGTACTATGTTGAATTGAAGTGATGACAGTGATCTTATCTAGTTCCTCTTAGCATTTTATAGTTGTATGTGTTGTTCACCAGTTTTAAGTCTAGTGCCCTTATCAGATTAAGGAAATATTTCTTATTGTGAATGTATTTAAAATTATAGCTTAAGTTTCTGCATCTAATGAGATTATCATATTTTTTTTTCTTCTGTAGAGTATCAACTTGGTGAATGATAGATTTTTTTCCTTTCCCCAAATTTTGTACATTCTCAAGTTTATAGGGATGTAGTATGAGTGTTTTTTTTTAAATTTTGAATTTATTTACTAGTAGCATGTTAATAAGGGATTTAATATTATGTTAGGAAAATATATTTTTTAAATGTTTTTATTATGTATTTATTTATTTTTATGGTGCAGGAGATTGAAACTAGGGCCTTGCACATGCTAGGCAAGTACTGTGGCAGCTCTCCTTTTTAAAAATAATGACTTTTTTCTTCTTTTAGGACAAGCCCACCTTATTGTTGTGTGGATCTATATTCACTTCGTACTGGAGAGATGGTCAAGTCCATTCAGTTTAAAACACCTATTTATGACCTCCACTGCAACAAGCGGTAAGCATTTTTTCATGTTTCTTATTCAGGTATGATCTACATCCTGGGCATATAAAGAACTACGAGTTCCATGACTTGAAGATTTTTAAAAATATCAAGGAAATATCTTCAAAATTATGTCCTATAAAATAGCTCTAAGATCCCTTAATTGAATATTTTCAGACTTCTATCTTGAGCCATGAGGGAAATATGAATTCATTGCAATGGGATTTAACCAGTATTTTAAAAACACAATGAAAAAGAATAGAAAGTATCTGAGACATCATAGATGTTCTGAGCAACCTTTTTATGTATACAATGTGTATACTTCTCTGTGTTTACTGACTTATGATATGAACTATAATTTTTCTGGGAAGTAAGAAATACTTCATGCTACATAGTGGAGCTAAAACATGCACCTGATTGGTTTTCCTTCTTTATGATTTATTTTATTAAATTGGACATATTCAAATCTAGGTTGAACTTCTACTTGACCTTTGGTGATAATGACAGATTATAACCACAGAATATAAGTGGAGAAAGAAACATAGTAATCTTTCATTACTGAGTGCTTTCCTTTTACACTTGAGAAAACTGAAGGCCTAGGATGATGAATGTCTTGAACCAAGAATGATGCAAGATATAAATCTTGTCATCAGAAGGAAACATATGAAGCACAACAAACAAAATATTTTTGGCATTTCAATAAATTTAAGAGAAACCAGATTCTCAGATAGATTTTAATGAGATAATGAAAAAGATATACCCAACAAATGTATAGTAAAGAAAATGTGCATTATCACTAATGACAGAACTATTTGAATTTAAGTGCAAAACATGAAAGTTATAGGAAATAGAAGAAACAGTATACTATGCCAGGATAAGGTAATTATATCCTGAGAAATCAAGTTAGTGAAAACAAAATCATATAGACGTATTAAACAACATCATTATTGGTAGTTTCATTAGATAATATATTTAACCCCCAAAACTATTTCATGTGCCATCCTAAAGTAATTTACACATTATTTAGCCGGAGAGGAACTTTAATACATTTTAAGAAGTAGTATAGAGAAGTTTTTAGATCAGTTTTCTCATATTACAGATCTGTGGATATGCTAGAAACCAGAGAAAATAAACAAAAACTACAGTTGTTTTCATTATTTGCTCAGTTTAAATTAAATAGGAAATCAAAACTAATTTTATTTCTTTCAAAAATTAATAATAAAATATATGTGTGGTGAAATTCTGCAAGATAAGTAAAAGAAATTATTATTCTCCAGAGATAAATATAGTCACCTGTATTTGAGTTTATCCTTTTCCAGAAAGCATTTACATCAATAAATGCAGGTATAACCTATAGCTCATGCTTTGTTTATAACTCTGCAAGAATGAATACTATTAACTTAAAATATCAAATATGAGACTAATAGGATTTTTTTCAAGAGCTCATGCAAGAGGTGATATGGCAGATGGTGTGGAATTCAAGACAATATGGCAAGAATTTGTGCAGAAAGGACATAGGTAAACTGTGGTTCTTTTCCTGGAAGCAGAGGGTGTTAGAACCATTAGAACTTGAAATCACTAAAAAGTCAGTAGGGGTTGGGAAATGGGAAGGAACAGATGTGGCCATGAACAAAAACTCCTTCTTATTGGGTAGTAGGCAATTGGTGTCTCTAAATAAATGAATGTGATTAAGGGTAGGTATGGCTTAATGACATTCATTTATTTAGAAACTAAAACAGAGTAGCAACACTGACTGAAACAGTTCATTACTCCCCAACCTTACCAGCCTCAATGTACCATTTACAAAGTTAGCAGTTATTTCCAGCCTGTCCCACCAGTGTATTTTTGGTGTGTAGAAGAAGGTTTCTAATAACTTGTCTTCTAAATTCATAGTCTTCATATTGAGAGTAATTGTATATGAGGGGTTTTATTTAAGGAAGTGTACCAAAGGATTGTCCTCTGCAGATGTACCTGATGCAGAGGGTGAGACTCCATGTTGGTGCCATAAAGGGATGAGAGAGGGTAGACGGTGGGGGAGTAGAGTATATGCTGCTTATTTGTGGGAAGAATGTCAATAATTAAATGATTTTAATAAATTTTGAAATAAAGCATCAGGGATAGTATAAAATATTGTGTTATTATTTGATAATCTACACTTCAGGCATCAGGATTTAATTTCTCCAACCTAGAGTATAGGGGGTGAACCCAATAACTCAGTTAAAGTAACTACAATGAAGTAGAAGTGTTGGTGGGCAGCTTCAGAGATCAGGTCAAAAAATGCAGTGATGTTTCCTCTTTTCTTTTTATTTGGATTAAGGTACAGGTCTAAGAAAGTGTTTTCATGGTGGAATAGACTCTAAATATCAAATACTTTGACATGATTAAAATTAAATAGCAGAAGAGAAAAATAAAGAGAAAGGTAAAGTGCTATAGATAGGAGTCAGATGGTAAGAACCAAACAAAATTAATATCCTCAGAAAGGAAAAATAATCCTCTTCCCTGTAAAAGCAAAGCATTCACATCAGGAAGGGGCGCTAAAACCAAACTTATCAATTATATTAGTAAATTAAAGTAAATTTAAATCACCTGTAACAAAAATATTTTCAACTATGAACTCAGCCAACCAAAAGATTAATCTCCCTGATGTCCTGAGTCATATTATACCTGTATACCTTTGTGATCATAGTGAATGAAAATCTCAGTCGAGAAATAAGACCTTCCAGGTGGAGCAGTAGAAAGTGTACAAGTTGAATAGGAGAGGTAAGAAATGGAGAAACATTATCAAACTCCATTGATCTATGAGATGAGAAGATTTAAGAAGACAGGGGTATGAGAAAAAGTCTATTTGAAATTTCAAAAAATTACCCAAATTTTATGAAGAACAAAAAATTTTGTATTTATGATCACTAGGAACACCAAAGAGGATAAATAAGAAGAAAAATATTCCTGGACACATCATAATATAATTGATTGAAAGTAAAGATGAAACAGAAAACTTGATGAAATTTAGAGATATAAAAAAGTACATTAAATGTGGGGAACAACAGTATGAATATTCTTTTTTATGTTTTTCTTTACTTTTGGAATTGATTTTTATGTTGGGCTATTCATGGTAGTTAGAGCCACTGTGTCTTCAGAACAATCACAGCACGGTAAATATGTCACTGAGACGTCCAGAAAAGTCTGACTAGCTGAACAGTATGAATATTCTGAATTTCAGTCAGGGGCACACAGAAGAATCAGGAGAACTCAGAAGAAAACTTCCACTTCACCCCTGCTACCTACTTGCTACCTAGATAGTCTGTGTGTTTTTCCTCTCTGGTGAATGAACTCCCTGTGTTCCTCCCTTGTAGCATCATTTCTACATGTGTATTTGATCTCACGTACTCATCCAAATCTTTTCTTCAGGACTCCACATTCTCTCTATGGTACCCACTGCAATTTCCCCAGATTGAGAGGTTTCCTTTCCCTCTTTTGTTCAATATAACATTGCTCTCTTCAAGTTGACATTGGTTCTCAGGTTCCTATATGGATCAGTTTTCAGATCTCATCATACTGCCATGTGTTCAGGACTCATTAACCAAATATTCAGTAATTTGCTATTTTATATCCAGCACTAATTTCATCCCTGTGTATTCATCTGTGATCAAAATTTCTTCTTTTTAAATATAACAACCTCATTAGGTTTTTGGGACATCGTGCTCTTGGTTTTCCCTCTAACTTTACTGAATTCCTTCACCAATGGATACATGTTGGATTGCTGTCATCTTTGAATTTCTCTTTTCAGCTGTATTTCCTCTTCAGAAGCTCTTATTTATTTTCATTTCCTTAATACAGTTAATTTACAGATGATCAATAATTTTCTCTCTGATCTGTAATAGTACTCTCTAGATCTGTCTTTAATTGCCTATTTTTATAGCTCTGTTTTGATATCTAGATGAAATCTCAAGTGTACTATTTCTGAGATGGAAACCTTATTAACCTATTCTTCCTGCCATTGTCTCCATTTTAATGAGTGGTAACTACACTGACAATTCTTTCAGCCAACATCCTTTGGGCCTTTAAAAAATTTGTGGTATAATTCACATACTTTAAAATCTACCCTTATAAAGTATACAATATTAGTGGGTTTTTTGGTATGAACACGTCTTGCAATTCCCATCAATAAACACCATGACACCACATCCCCATCAGTAGTCACTTCCTGTTTTACCTTTTCCTAGCCTGTCTAGACACTAATTTATTTTATATTGCTGTGATTATGTCTGTCCTGGACATTTTTTTTAAGAGAGAGAGAGAGAGAAAGAATTTTTTAATATTTATTTTTTAGTTTTCGGTGGACACAACATCTTTATTTTATTTGTATGTGGTGCTGAGGATCGAACCCAGCGCCTTGTGCATGCCAGGTGAACGCGCTATCGCTTGAGCCACATCCCCAGCCCAGATAATTTTTAAAAAATATTTTTTTTAGTTGTAGTTGGACACAATATCCTTATTTTATCCATTTAATTTTATTTGGTGCTGATGATCGAACCCAGTGCCTTGCATGTACTAGGCAAGCACTCTACCGCTGAGTCACAACCCCAGCCCTGTTCTGGATGTTTTATGAAAATGAAACACAATATGTGATCTTTCTGACTGACTTCCTTCACATACCTTATTGTTTTTTAGGTTCCTTTACAAGGAACATGTATCAGTATTTTATTCCTTTTTATGACTGAATTTTGCATGGATATGCCACATTTTGTTATCAGTTTATCAACTGATAAACTTTTGGGTTGTTTCTATTTTCATGTTCTTGGGAATATTGCCTTGAATTTTCCTATATAGGTTTTTAATTGAACATATATTTTCATTTCTCTTGTGTTTAGATCTAGCAGTTTAACTTTTTGCGGAACAGCTAAGCTGTTTTCCAACATGGCTGCATCATTTTACATTTCTACCAACAATGTGTGAGGGTTTCATTTTCTCACCAGCACTTACTATTATTTTTGGGTGATGCTGGGATTTTTACCCAGGACCTTGTAAATGCTAGGCAGATGTTCTTTGTTGTTTTGTTTTTAAATTTTTTTTTTAAGTTGTAGATGAACACAACACCTTTATTTTACTGATGTATTTGTTTGTGGTGCTGAGGATTGAATACAGTGTACATGTACTAGGCAACCACTCTATCACGGAGCTACAACCCCAGCCCCTCTTCATTGTTTTTTTATTGTCTAGTGGTTGTGAAGTGGTATCTTTTTGTAGTTTTGTTTCATGTTTCCTTAATGAGTAATGATATTTAGCATCATTTCATGTGCTTATTTACCATTTGATTTGTTCCTTCCAGAAATATCTATTCTGATTCTTTGCCCATTTTAAAATTTGATTATTTGTCTTTTTATTATTAAATTGAATAACAAGTCTGTGTGCATTCTAGATAAGTTATTTATCAAATGCATTACTTGCCAAACTTTTCTCACATGCTGTGGATTATCTGTTCACTTTCTTTGTGGTGTCATTTCAGGCACAAAAGTTTTTAATAGTGGTGATGTCCAATTCCAGTTTTTTCCTTGTTGCATTTACTATTGTTATGCAATAGTAAATGAATAAGAAACCATTGTCTACTCCAAGTGTATGAGCATTCACACTGGTTCTTTCTTGTGAGAATTTTGTAGATTTAGCTTTTAAATTTAGGTCTTTTTTTTTTTTTTGTACTGGGTCTTGAACCAAAGGCACTCTATCTCTGAACTACATCACCGGCCCTTTTATTTTTTTACTGAGACAGGGTATCACTAAGTTGCTTAGGGCCTCACTAAGTTGCTAAGGCTGGCTTTGAGCCTGGGATCATGTTACCTTACCCTCCCAAATTGTTTGGAATTATAGGCGTGTGTCACCACACCCAACTTCTTGGTCCATTTTTAACTTCTGTTTTTCTTTGCTACCTTATTGCAGTCCATGGACAAATCCTGTTCAGCTCCACTTTCAATTTTATTAATAATTTAATCGCTTCTCACTACAACCATTGCTATACTCTGTTCTAAACCACTATCTTTTACCTGGATTATTGTGGTATTCTTCAAGTTCTCTGCTTTCAAATTGTTACTTGCTTGCCTCCATAGTGACCTGTTCTTAATATAGTGCCAGAATCTATCTTTTAAAAATTATGCCAGAATATTCCATCTTTCTATTCTATTCTCTCTCTTGGCTTCCTTCCCATGGCCTATAAGAACATCTAGTATCTTTGCTTTTTTTGCTACTTCTCTGACTTCATCTCCTAAGATTTTTTTCCTTTTGCTTTTTGAGCTGCATCTCTGCCTTTTAATTGAAATTGGATAAAATATTGTTACCTCCAGAACTTTATATATTTTGGAATTTAATTTGTGATAAGGTGGTATTTTAAATTTGTGTGATTTGTGTGTGTGTATGTGTGTGTGTGTGTGTGTGTATGTGTGTGTCAGGGGGAATATATTATTCAGAGAATGATTTGAGAGCACTGAGACTCTTGGGGAGGATCAGGTCATTTATGAGTAGAAAAAGCCACAGATCCTTTCCTTGTGAGGGTGACATGCCTCATACTGTTGGTATTGATAATTTAGCAGTATTCTTGGTTGAAATAAATTGTATTCGCTTATGCAGAAATGAACAAATGCAGTGTGAAAATTTGAAAAATCAACATATCTTTTAGCATCGATAGCTATTAAAATTCTACAAATAAAGTAAATAAAAGATGTGTAGAACATGTAATCACAGAATTTTGAATTGGAGAGGTTTAGTAAGATCTAAATAAACCAATAATAAAGACCACTTTTTATGGCATGAAAGGTTTATTATTTCAGTATTATTTTGACCAAAATTATATTACTATCAGTACAGTAATTTTACAGGTCTGATATTGATGAAAGAGAAATACACCAGTGCAATGGAACAGACTCTGGGATTAGACATACACTTATATGACTTGACATAAAGGTGTCCTTTAGCTCAGGTTTTTTCAACCAGTTTTGTTTGCATATTCATATAGAACAACAACAAAAAGAAGTCTTAAGTCCGACTTAACTATCAATTCTAGATGAATTGGAACTCTGAACATGAAAGGTAATACCATTTATTTGTAGGCAAAATTTCAGTTAGAAATTCAATTTACTTTATGTTTACAAGTCTTTTCAGATTTTAAAATTCTTTCTGATACTAGTTTTGATAACTTATTTGTTTCAAAAAATTTTCCCATTAGGTTGTATTAAGGTTGGAATAAAATTGTAATATTTATTATCAATGTAATGGCTGTGAAATATCTAGCAATATCAAAGTTGTGAATGTTCTCTTTTTTTGATCAGTCTAGCTAAATATCTAATTTTGTTTCTAGCTATGACCTGTGCCTCCCTTGCCCCTTAAGAGTGACGTGAAATGCATGTTGTTTATCATTGTAGGAAGTTCCTTTTCTAGTTTGCTGACAGTTTTGTCTTTGTTTGTTAATTTGGTATTAAATTTAGCAAAGTCCTTATTAAGATGATTGTATGTTTTATTTTTGATCTGTTAAAAGAGTAAATTATTTTGGTTGATTTCCTAATGTTAAAACCATTCTTGAATCTTTGAATGGAACTTTGGTGTTGTTATCTAAAATTCTTTTTATATGCTTTTGGATTTTATTTTTGCATCTATATTCATGAGGGTGGTTGATCTGCAATTTTCTTTTTCTTGTGTTTCTTTGATTTTTTTTCAGGGTTCATTTGCATATGATTGTTACTTTCTTCCTTAAATTTTCTGAATTTCTGTTATTGGATACACATAAATTTATGATTATTATGTTTTATTTTCTTGCTTTGTGATCCTTTCATCTTTATGAACTATCCTTTGTGACTTCTGATGTTTCTGTTCTTAATGTTTATTTTATCTTGTAATCATTCCAACTCTTATGATTACAATTTACATGGTATGTATTTTTCCATTTTATAGTTTTAAACTACTTGTGTTTTTTTAATGTCTTGGTCTTGACATATTTAACTTGATCATTATCCAGTTTGACAGTCACCTACTTTTAAATATTCTGTGTATTTAAAAGAAATTATGAAGGACTATAAATGTAGCTTTAGTAGTAGAGCAAATACTTGGTATATGGGAGGCCCTTGGTTCTATCCTCAGCACAACAACAAAAACAAAACAAAAGGAATAGAGAACAGTTTGCTAGTATACACACACTTATCCATACATATACATACATAAATAGATATATACCCAAACCTCATTTGGTTCTGTTGACTCTTAACAATGGTGAATATTTTCATTTTGTGTTTCGTTATTTGATACTTTTATGACAACTATTGTATTTAAAGTATGAGTGTTGATCTTGGTAAATAATATTTACATGTAAAAATGCCTTTTCTTTTACAAAGGTGTTGAGGGTGTTGTGCTGACTCAGTGTGTAAGTGAGAAGGTTTTGGGCAATCTTGTAGTAACAGAACAGAAATGTAGTTTACTATTGGGTATTTCTAAAACTTCATATTATTTCTTTTATAGGGTTATTTTCTTTGCTGTTTGAATATACAAAATGTACATATATTATCATTAACAACAAACAGCTCATTAAAAATTAGAAAATTAGAAAAGTTTTAAACAAATCCAGCTGAAAAAAATTACAAGGAACAACAGTAATTACTCATTAGAATAGTTCTGCATCAGCAAATGAGACTGTTCTCTTTCAGAATGTGAACAAAATTAATAGAGCAGCATTTTAATATGCTCTCCCCCCCATTTTTCCATTCAAGTATCAGCATGTGTTGTTTAGATTTACCTATTCCATAGGAAAAAATTAATGTTAAATATTTTATAATAATTACAATCATTTATTGCATTTTTTGAAATAATTATTAAAACTTGGTGGTTCCTATTAATAGCTTATGAGGAATAGTCATATTCAGATGTATTTAGAAATTACATTTTGAAAATATATTTGAGTATAAATTGTTTTCCTGGTTATTTATAAATCTTAGTATCTGTGAAAAATACTATTTATACAGATTCTCATTTGAATTTTAATATATTGAGTCAATCAGAAATGACTTATTTACACCACATGTAATTGTCTTATATTTCTTTGTGTGTGAGTTATGTTGGTAATGCAGCAATCATTTTAAGTGATAGATTACATAAATCCATTTTATGTTTAATTCCATGACTCTGAAACATCAGTGGAAAAGCACTTTTAGTAAATGGCTAACAGTTTATTGATATTATCCATTCTTAATGTTGATTTATCTGATTTAAAATGAATGAAAAAATGAAACTTTATTAAGAGAAAACATTTTTTGAGGTGGTAGTTTTCCTTCAGGTTTTTTTTGTGGTAATCTCTATCTTATAAAAGATTTCATCATTTTTATTTTTAGATTTTAGAGGTAGATATTGCTAGGAAATATTTATAGGAAATGTAACTTAAGATTCAATTCGTAGAATTTCACCTTCACCTTTTTTTCCCCCCCTAATTTTAGGATCCTCGTCGTAGTCTTGCAGGAGAAAATCGCTGCCTTTGATAGCTGTACTTTCACAAAAAAATTTTTTGTCACAAGTATGTACCAAATCATTTTATTTCCTGTCATATGCATTTGAGTTTATACTGCTTACTTGATACAGTCAGCAAACTAAATGTAATCGTATTATCATTATTTCATCTGTTTTTACTTATGATCTTCTGTGATTTTGTGGATATCTTTATTCAGTAGAATAATTGTATGGTATGTAAGTTCACTTTGGCAACATGGGTTCATCATATTTTTTCTTCATTGTCTTAGTTTCCCCTTAAATACTTTCCTTGAAAAGTTATGATTAATTTCATATAGCTGTTCATTTTTCGAGGTATTTGAGTGTTTTAGCCTTTCTTTCTCCCCATCTTTGCTCCATCCTCATCACCTCTAGAACTGTCTAAAAGTTCAGAAGAAAGCATAGAATTTAGTTCATCACAGTGTGCTCAAACACAAGATTAATATATTTTGTATCATATGAAATTATGTATATGAAATTTTATAATGCGAGGGAAGGAGTGTTGGCAGGGAGGAAGGGGAAAGGAGAGTGAGAGAGAAATTAATTTTAAGAAATTGGCTTGGGGCTGGAGTTGTGGCTTAGCAGTAGAGCGCTCGCCTCACACATGTGAGGCCCTAGGTTCGATCCTCAGCACCACATAAAAATAAATAAATAAATAAAATAAAGGTATTGTGTCCAACTACAACTAAAAAATACATATTTAAAAAAAAAAAAGAAATTGGCTCATGGAACTGTAGGGGCTGGCGAGTTGAGTTTTGCAGGACTGGCTGTTGAGCTAAAAAATCCAGCAGGATCCAATGTTGTAGTCTTGAATCCTGAGGCAGTCTGGGGACAGAATTTTTTATCTTCATCATGGATATTTATTGAATACTCTATATCAAACTCCTAGTAGTAGATATTATCCTTGCCTTTAAAAGCATTTTCTTTGATACAGTTACCACATTATGTATCATATATAACTGCATACATCATATACTGCATGATATCCTGTATAAACAGTAATTCATTATAATATCTTGTTTAACATTTTGTTGACCATGAATAGGATAACCTCAGGCCTGTAATCTTTTTCTCAGACATATATAGCTATTACACATTAATTTATTACATCTTATTTATTATAATTAGAATAATTAGGGAAATAAAACCACATCAGTTTTATACATTTCTTTCCTCATTAGGTGGGATAGAGATGAGTGAATCAGAATAGAGGAGAAGTATTTCAGCCACATTCAGCTGTGAAGTTTTCCTGAGTATTTGTCTTTCCATTTTATCTGTAGTTTTTTGCTGTTCATTGTTAATCAGAGATATGGACATCAAGGCTTCTAATGTTAGCTCTGTTGTGATTCCATTTTAACCTTCTAAGTTCCATTTTTAATTTTATAACCTGTATCTTATACTTGTAGCCGTATTTCAGGAGCACTGAGCTATCTTTTGTTCTTTTATTATTTTTGGTTTATTAACAAATAAAAATATCTTGAGCCCTCAAGTGAGTGTTAAATTGGGGGAAGAAATCCAAAATCATTTATTTGTTAAGGTAGTTTCAATTACAAAATATATTTGGAAGTTTAATCCCTATTTAAGTGTTAGATTCTACTATACTGTGTATGTTGAAATATTACATTTGTCAATAGCTGTCAGCTTCTTTGTAATAAATGGCAGAATATAAATGAGTTATTAATAGTGACTAATGAGAGGTTAAGAAAGTTAATGGTGGAGATATTTTATTTTTTTGAGGGTATTTATTTTTTAAAGCATATTTATATTATAGTTTTAAGTGAACAAGTAAATATATATATTTCCAGTAATTCATTTAATGTCCTATTTAGAAATTTAGAAGAAAAAACCTTCATTATAAAAGAATAATTTAAAATAACTAGATTTATTTATTAGCAGTATAGTTATATATATTTTTTTATTATTGCATTACAATTATACATGATAGTGGGATTCTTTGTTACATATTAGTACATATACACAGAAGAATAATGTAATTTGGTTAGTTTTGTCTCCTAGTACTTATCCCCACAACCTTGTTCCCTCTTCTACTCTGTTCGTCTCATGAGATGCACCCCCAACCTATTTTATTTTTCCTCTCTAGCTTCTACATATGAAAGAATATAGCTCTTGACTTTCTGAGTATGTCTTATTTTGCTTAATATAATGTCCCAAATTCCATCCAGCAAATGGCATAATTTCATTATTTTTTATTGATATTAAAACTCCATTGTGTATATATGCTATATTGTAATTAGGTTGGAAGGACACAACGGTCTATAATAATTCTAATACTTTAAAATGGAAATATAACTTTCATAATACTGTTTTATTGACAAATCTTGACAATATTACATAATGATAGAATTTTAAAAACTTTGATCAAATAATATTTTGGATGAAATGATGTATGTGTAGCTGATAATCTATCTACACATTGTCCTCTACATGAGTGAAATTTGTTTCTACCAATATTAGGGTTTGTTAGCACTTTTTCTTTCTTTCTTTTTTTTTAAAGGAAGGAATTTTTAAAAAATACCTTTATTCTATTTATTCATTTGTATGTGGTGCTGAGGATTGAACCCAGGGCCTCACATGTGCTAGGCAAGTGCTCTTATCACTGAGCTATTGCCCCAGGCCCAGCACTTTTTCTTAATGCCTTTTTTGCTTTCTCTTTTTCTCAGTGTTTTTTTTTTTTTGAGACATCTTTGTGATGTATTCCTAAATGCTTCAACTTGCATTGCTGGAACCCAATAAATAGTTGAAGGAAATATTGCTAAATTATTAGTCTCTATCTTATTTTGTGAATTGTTCATCACTGGAAGGAAGAGATATGGAAGCATCAACAGTATTACTGGTTGTACAGTCAAGTACTTTATTAGAGGCATACAGTTTCTAAAGAGATCCTAGTTGATGGCTTGTGATCCCTAGTAATGAATTTTCAGTTATTTTTGATCCATGAGTATTCTCACTTATTCTCTCAGAGTACTATTTGAATTTTGGCTGTTGTTGACACCTTAATGTCAATATTTAGCGTGGATTGCATAAAATCTAAACTGTTGCTTAATAGTATGCTATAATACATACCTTACTAAGGAAAAAAGAGTTCAAAAAGCAACAACAACTGAAGTTGGTGATTTCTCTACTTATACTCTAAATAGTATTTATTATAGAATTTCACTTTAGTCTTCTCAAATCTCACTTTTGCAAATACTCTTACAAATAATAATGATATATCTTATTTCACACTTCCATTAGGATGTGTGGTTATTCTTAGTCCTAAGAATCAAATTTATGCATGTGATTTTAGGTTGGTAAAATTGAGGATATTCAGCAAATATTTGAATGGAGATTTAGTTGATTTTCTTTGTATTACAGCTTTGTGTAAAATGATTTTTGGTCAATGTTAGAACCAAATTTTATATGATCAGAATTTTAAAATCAAGAAATAGAGGGTGCCACTTTGTAACTTGAAAGAAGCATATATTTTTTCTCCAATTCCTGCATCAGAACCCTCCCCTCCCATCTCTTTACCCAGACTGAAACTCGATACAGGTTACATACATTTCGTGTATTTGGATTTATGTTATCCCATGAGTATAAACTAGTTTTGCTAGGTACTGGAGACAGGGGAGCTGGTGTTATAGCACAGTGAGATAGTTTTTGTGGTAGCTCATCTGCCATTTCTCCATGGATTAGTACCCTGTTTTTAAAGAGGCAAGAGTACACCCCATGTAGAAAGACAAGATCTCCATTTAATGAGGATGTTATTTTGATCATGCAAGCATTTCAGACTGCTAAAATAGTCTGAATATCTCTTGTACAATACATTCTCAGTTGACTATCTTAGTTATGTAAGAATACAATGAAGGTACTGTAATGAAGTACTGATAGGATGTGTCCATCAGAGCAAGCATCATGGGAATTTGTGCCAAAGTTGGATGGAACAGGTAAAGAGAGCCAATGGGGAACTGTTGAGAAGGTATCCAATGTGATGAGAAAGGTGACACTCTTGTATTTGTATGCACAGAAAGTTGGCCTTGAGCAGCTGTCTGATGTGGAAATCTGAAACCCTGGTATGATTAGGAAAACAAAAGACAAAGATTGATAGATGTCATTAGTAGTCATTTGAAGTGTACTAAAAAAATCTCCAGGGAGATTAGAATGTCCAGTAATGCCAGTCCTCATGATACACACCTGTAATCTCCACAATTCAGAAGGCTGAAGCAGGTGGATCATAAGTTTGAGTCCAGCCTCAGAAATTTGGTGAGACACTGATTTAAAATAAAAAATAAAAGAACTAGGTATGTAACTAAGTGATAGAGAACCCCTGGGTACAGTCTCCATTACCGCCCCCCAAAAACCACACACACAAAAAGATAAAGAAAAATGAAAATTTAAACAGATCAATTTCAAGTAATGAAAAAGCCATCAAAAACCTACCAACAAAGAAAAGTCCACAACCAGACTGGCTTCTCAACCGAGTTCTACCAGACCTTTAAAGAAAAACTAATATCAATCCTCCCCAAATTATTCCATGAAATAGAAGAGGAAGGAACTCTTCCAAACTCATTCTGTGAAGCTAGTATCATCCTGATACCAAAACCAGTGAGACACATCACGGAAAGAAAATTTCAGACCAATATCCTTGATAAACATAGATGCAGAAATTCTTATTTAAAAATTTTTTTTAGTTGTAGATAAACACAATATCTTTATTTATTTATCTTTATGTGGTGCTGAGGATTGAACCCAGTGCCCCACACATGCAAGGCAGGTGCTCTACCACTGAGCTACACCCCATCCCAGATGCAGAAATTCTTAATAAAATACGGCACATCACATACAAAAACACAGTAAAAAGATAGTGCACCATGATCAAGTGGGTTCACCACAGGGATGCATGTTTAACATACAGTAATCAATAAATGTAATTCATCACAAAATATACTTAAAAGAATCACATGATTATCTCAATGCAGAAAAAGCATTTGACAAAATATAGCATACATTCATATTTAAAACACTAGA